CCGTCAGCGCGAACACCGAGCCTGCTAGGAACTTGCCTGCAATCTCTGTCGGAACCCTGCCCGAGTGCCACTTCAAGCAGCTCCCAAGCACTTGACTAGTCCCGCAGCCCTGCAAGCCATGACAGGCCCTGCAACCCAAAATCCTGCACATGGACACGCGCGGTGAAAATTTCAGGATATGTATTTCCATCCTCCGAGTCACGGGAGCTCACGACGTAAAGGAGCCAACAAAAACACTGCACAACACCCTCTTGCAAAGCTTGCCTGCCGGAGCTGGCGGCATTCCCGTACCAACTATAAGAGCAGATGATCCTTGACGGCGTGTACTCCCCGTTGACCCTCAACAAAATACCTCGGATTAAGGTGATTGGGCATTTGTTGAACTAAGGTCCTGTACCATCCTCAATGGCCTCAAAACACCAAGCAATTAGCCGACGAAACTGCTTCAACATGGCAAGTGGCATTAGAAGACGAATCCCAACATGGACCTCAGCCTGAAGAGTCTCCCATTTCTAGAGCCCTCAGTCATTCTGCCCGCGAAGCTTCTTCTTGAGGCCCCTTTTTGGCAACAAAGGACCCGACTTTGTCGGGGGTAGAGATGTACTTCGGGCTGGTCTAACGATGCAGTGCTTAGCTTACCCTTGTGAAGAACATTGAGGATAATCTGCGCCTGCAGCCATGCCGCCCCGATAATCACAAATGGAAGGCTCCTGGTGCCACGCACGGGGCTCCGAGCTGTACAAATTCCCTCGTTTCGCCTTCTTCTCCTTGCTTCTTGTGGCCGCGCCCCTGTCGCCCTAACGGCACAGGTACGCCTCTGCCGCATTCCTGGCGTTTCCTCCTTGAGAGAAAGCCTGCCATCCTGCACTGATGCGTCCACATCCTTCGCAGGGTACTTGAAAATCAACCCCAGCTGGAAGAGTGACAGAAGCATCCCCAAGACGTTGGGAGCCCAGACCGGTGCCTTCTGGCGGGTAATACCTACAGCAAACCAGCAGAGGCTGTTGAGAAAACCCAACAAGATCTGCGCCACTGGCAAAGTCTTTGAAGACTTTGTTCGAAGAACCTCTTGGAGGACCGAGAGTGGCGCGGCATACATAATGATGCCTACGACCATGCCAAGATTTCCTACGCTAGCTGGAGCACCATCACCTGCCAGTCCGGCAAAAGCCATGATCAAGACGGACAACACCAGGACGAAGAGTGTTCCAGCAAAGGCCCACTTGTTCCATCGCTCTGCTTTCTCATCCTTACGTGCAAACCACCAACATGTCGAGATGCTGAAGAGCCCTACGGCCACACCATAGGCGTTGCAGGGGATGACCGGGGCAACTGGCATGAAGATACCGTAGGCTAACTGAGTTGCACAGTTCAGGATGAAGGCCAGCAAGTTCAATGGGTTGACCAACTGGACCTTTGTGGGTGCAGCGATGACGTTCAAAGCCTGGGTCAAAGGGGAGGTCATGAAAAAGAGTGCGCAGCAAATCGCCACGGCATCCAGGGCTGCCGCTGCATCTCCCAACATGACAGGCACTGCAAGATCTAGAATGCCCACACGAGGCCAAATGAACTACTTGCAGGAGCAGATGAAGGCAAAGTAGTGGATGACTTCGGGCCAAAGGAAGCGCATGCCGGCATGCCACCGAAAATGTTTGCCGTCGTTTCCAGCATGGTGTGTCTAAGTTGGGCCACAATCGCCGTAAAACCTTCTTCATACCAATCAATACAAGGGGTC